ACATATCAGATTGGCTAACATGCCAGAAAAAGTAAAATGACAAATGCTGGAGAGGATATGGAAAAAATAGGGACACTAATGTATTGCTGATAAAGTTGGAAACTGGTTCAACCATTCCTGAGGACAATTCAAAACTATACCCAAGGGACTATAAACAGAGCATATCCTTTGATGCAGCAGCACCCCTACTAGGTCTTTACCCCAAAGAAATCAAAGAAGAGGAGGAAGGATCTATTTGTACAAAAAAAATATTTATAGCAGCTTTTCTGTGGAGGCAAAAATTTGGAAATTGAGAGGATGACCATCAATTGGGGAGTGGCCAAACAAGTTGTGGTATATGATTGTGATGGAATACTATTGTGCTATAAGAAATAATGAATAGGATGGTTTTAGAAAAACCTGGGAAGTCTTGTATGAACTGATCCAAAGTGAAGTGAGCAGAACCGGAATAACATTGTACACAGCAACAACAATATTGTAACAATGATCAACTGAAATATTTAGCTAGTCTGATTACTAAAGACAATTACTAAAGACAATTCCAAAGGACCCATGGTGAAAAATGCTATTCATCTCCAGAGGAAGAACTGATGAACTCTGAGTGCAGATTGAAACATACTTTTTTTCACTTTCTTTATTTTTCTCATTTTCATTGTGTGTTTTCCTTTGTAACATGGCTAATATGGAATTTGTTTTTTCATGACTTGACATGCATATCAACATCATATTGCTTGCCTTCTCAAGGGGTTGGCAGGGGTAGATGGGAGAGAGTGAATTTGGAATTCAAAATTTTAAATAATGAATGTTAAAATATTTTTAAATATAATTGAAATATTTAATGAAATAAATAAAAATGCATTTTAAAAAGATAAAGATGAGCACTAATGCTGTTCATATCAATGTTTTTGAAAACTACAGATTGTACATAAAATTATAATCTTAATTTTTTAAAAATAGTTTATTTGGACTCTAGGAATCTAATATAAAGCTTATTATATACAATCTTAAGGAAGTTTCCAGACAGCTACTGGATTTGATGTCTAGGAGATGACATATTCCAAAATAATAGGGCCTAAAAAGATGACAAACAGCATGAGTAAGGGAAATTTAAGAGGTGAATTTTCCAGTGTTCTAAAAAATCTAGAGAGATAATTCACAACCTCTGCATAAGATGCATAAAAATCCTTCACAATTTAACTTGCAACTGACCCTTATGGGAAAATGGACCAACTTGAGAGCACTATAACTAGAAAGCTACCAAATCAAGCATTTTCAGGAGCGACAAGAGAATAGTTATCTGTCTTGTGAAGTTGATGGCTTTTGTTGAGGATGTAGGATTTCATTGGAATCAAGAATTCCTGGTAAAGAAACTCCCTATTGGTTATTCATCTATAACTTTGATTTTTTTTTATTAACTAATTTATTTTTAGATTTTAGAATTTACTTACATAAGATTTTGAGTTTTAAATTTTCCCCTCTCCCCAAGATGGCATGCAATCTGATATAGGTTATACATGTATGACCAAATTAAACATATTTCCACATTAGTCATGTTGTGAAGGAAGAATCAGAACAAAAGGGAAAAACCATGAGGAGAAAAACAAAAAACAACAAAAGAAAGGGAAAATAGTATGCTTCAATCTGCACTCAGATTCCATAGTCCTTTCTCTGGATGTGAATAACATTTTACATCATGACTCTTTTGGAATTGCCTTAGGTCATTGCATTGCTCAGAAGAACTAAGTCTAACAAAGTCGGTCATTGCATAATGTTGCTGTTACTGTTTACAGTGCTCTCCTGGTTCTGCTCACTTCACTCAGAATCAGTTCATGCAAATCTTTCCAGGTTTTTTGAAGCCCACCTGCTCTTCAATTCTTATGGAACAATAATATTCCATTACATTCATATACCACAACTTGTTCAGCCATTCCCCAGTTGATGAGCATCTCCTCAATTTCCAATTCTTTGTCACACAAAAAGAACTGTTATAAATATTTTTGTACATGTGGGTCATTTTCCCATTTTTATGATCTCTTTGGGATATAGACCTAGAAGGGGTATTGCTGGGTCAAAAGGTATGCACAGTTTCATAGCCCTTTGGGCATAGTTCCAATTTGTTCTCCAGAATGGTTGGATCAGTTCACAACTCCACCAATAATACATTAGTGCTCCAATTTTCCTACATCTCCAACATTTATCATCTTCATGTTTTGTCATGTTAGCCAATCTGATAGGTGTAAGGTCGTACCTCAGAGTTGTTTTAATTTGCATTTCTCTAATCAACAGTGATTTAGGGCACTTTTTCATGTGACTACAGGTAGCTTTAATTTCTTCCTCTGAAAACTGCTGTTCATATCCTTTTGACAGTGTATCAATTGGGGAATGACTTGTATTCTTATAGAATTGATTCAGTTCTCTATATATTTTAGAAATGAGGCATTTATCAGAGATACTGGTTGTAAAAATTGTTTCCCAGCTTTCTGCTTTCCTTCTAACCTTGGTTGCATTGGCTTTTTTTGTGCAAAAACTTTTTAATTCAATGTAATCAAAATTATCCATTTTGCATTTCATAATGTTCTCTATCTCTTGTTTGGTCATAAATTCTTCCTTTTTCCATATATCTGACCGGTAAACTATTCCTTGCTTTCCTAATTTGCTTATAGTTTCACCCTTTATGTCTAAATCATATACCCATTTTCTTATCTTGGTATGGTATAAAAAGTTGGTCTATGCCTAGTTTCTGCCATACTGTTTTCCAGTTTTCCCAGCAGTTTTTGTCAAATAGTGAGTTTTTACCACAGAAGCTGGAGTCTTTGGGTTTATCAAAGAGCAGATTACTAAAGCCATTGACTACTGTGTCTTGTATACCTAACTGATTCCACTGATCCACCACTCTATTTCTTAGCCAGTACCAAGTAGTTTTGTTGATTGCTCCCTTATAATGCAGTTTCAGATCTGATACGGCTATGGCACCTTCCATTGCATTTCTTTTCATTAATCCCCTTGATATTTTGGACTTTTTGTTCTTTCAGATGAATTTTGTTATTATTTTTTCTAGCTCTATAAAATAATTTTGTAGTTTGCTTGGTATGGCACTAAATAAGTAAATTAATTTAGGTAGAATTGTCATTTTTATTATATTAGCTCAGCTTACCCATGAGCAATTGGAATTTTTCCAATTATTTAGATCTGACTTTATTTGTGTGAAAAGTGTTCTGTAATTGTGTTCATATAATTCCTGGATTTGTCTTGGCAGGTAGACCCCCAAATATTTTATATTGTCTACACTTACTTTAAATGGAATTTCTCTGTCTATCTCTTGTCACTGGGCTTTGTATAACTTTTATCCTTAAAGAATGGCCTAGGGCCCTTAGTAGTTAAGTGACTTGTCAGTGGTCACTCAGATAAAATGTGTCAGAGGCAAGGTGTACAAACTATAGATAAGTCAAGTAACCCCTCCGAATGTGTGTGCGCATGTGTTTGAAAGATGCCAGTGTTACTTCATTGAATCAACCTGTAGGCAGGATTCTGTTTAAAATATGAAAAAACATCACAGAAGAGATTTAATAAGAATCAGAGAGCTGATCTACTCATCATGCACCTTGCAAAGTTTTTCAATTCCATTATTACATTAAAGGTGCAGTGTGGCTTGGACGTATAAAAGCCAAATATTAAGAAGGATTAGAAGAAAATCACACCTAGGTATTACATTTTCAGAAGTTTTTTTTTTCAAATGATGCAGGAAGAAAGAATGATAAGAAGGAGGAAGAATGTATCATTTCCAAAATAGCACCTCCTTAAATACACAACCCCAAGTTTTCAAACTGATCTGAGATATCCTTGTTCTGTACTTCATCCATAAGTTTAAGCAAGTGAGTCAGAAAAGCAAGGTGACAAGGCTTTTAATGACTATGTACACTATTAGTTTTAATGACTATGTGGGCAAGTTTTTACATAATGTAATATATCTATGCATTTGCAATATGCAACTTTAAAATGGCATGTTATTTTATTTGTTCTTTACAACAGCTCTGCGGTAAGTACAAAAAGATATCATCTCCACTTTTTTTTTCAACAAGGAATCAACCTCTGAAAGGAGATGTGACTTGCCTATAATCAAATAGCTACTAACTGTCAAAAGCTGAAATTGAACATAGGTCTCTCTGCTGACTACAAAAGCACATTCTTTCAATTACCCTGTGTAACCACTGTGAAAGGTGCTTATATATATAAGGATGATGATTTTGGTAAGTGAGGTTATTTTATAGAAGGTGACAAAACTAAGGGCAGCTAGGTGGCGCAGTGGATAGAACTCTGGACTTGGAATCAGGAGGGTCTGAGTTCAAATCCAGCTTCAGATGCTTGCCATTTACTAGCTGTGTGACCCTGGGCAAGTCACTTAACCTCGATTGCCTCACCAAAAAGCACAACAAAAACAAACAGAAGGTAACAAAACCACTTAGGAGAAGGCCTCTCAGCCTTTGATTAACAAATTAATTTTGCAGAAATGCAGTCATGTTTCACTGGATGGAAGGTGATTTAGCTACATAGTCTTCATGTCCCCTTGATGAGTGAGATTGACAGTATGAATTTGGAGAAGAAATCAAATTCTAAAGTACCTTATGGTTTCTGAATCTATTCAGTGTTCAATTGACTTCCCACACCATCCAGATCTCCTGCTTTTCTAGTATATAATAACTGATGGTCACCAAGACAATGAGTCATCAAGGAAAGTTTTAAATCATGTTCAGCATAATCTGTTTGGGATAGTGTGGTGCTAGGCAATACTTGCCACTCTTCCATTTTTATCAAATGAATAAAATAAAAATATTTTGACACTTAAAGAATTAAGCATTAATTTGACCTTTCCAGACTGCCAAACCCATGACCATTTAAAATGACTGCAGCATTACTGTAATTCTCTCATGATTTTAGAAAACTCTTAGAAGAGAATTTGTATTCTATCCAATAGTTTTGACAGTCAAAAGACAACAGCCAAGTTCTCTTTGATTAGTTTATTTTTTTTATTTTTTATCTCCACTAAGAGCAAGTCAAGTAGGTAGATACAATCAATAGATGTGTACATTCTCTAAGGCATCCCACCATCACAGGAGGCTAGGAAACCATTAGGGATATTATATCAGGATTATTCTTGTTTTTATTCTATTATGCAGATATATGGCTTTCGTGCAGATTTTAAAGACCAAAAGATAATATGCTTCTAACAATCAATATACAAAAAAAAAAAATTAAAAAAAAACTTCACCCAACCCCATGAGTAACTTGGTACTATAATGTTTAATAGGTATATACATGAGATTCATCAATCTTTTGTGCCTGTTAAGTTTGTATTTGAATATATTTTCTTATTTTAAGCTATAAGAGCAAAGTTTCGGGTGCAGGGAGTGGAAGATCTGTTGATTTTTCCTCCCTTCTCAAGTGGAATAGTCATTTAGACCATCATTTCCTCACATGAAAACATTCTCGAACTGAGATATTTCATTGGCTACCCTGCCCAGGCACTGCCAGGTCACCCTGAGGGCATATTTTAACTTTGGTTTCTACTTGGCATAATGGGTGACTGGGAGCAATAAAAGAGAGCCATTACTGTAGCAAGGGGACATTAGTCACCCTCTTTGAAGTGTCCTCCACACTGTCCTTCCCCTGGAAGCCAGCATTCCAGACAAGTATGAGGTAGGCACTACTTGCTGCACACTCAGGACCTTCTTCCCTCTTGAGCAAACTCATTGGAAAATAAGTTCTTTTAAAACTGGAATCAGTGCCTTGATAAATTGCTTTCAGGACTCATTTCCTGCCCTTGTCATTGTGGAAGAAGACTAGGAAGGGAGAAATTCTTTGCCTCCTTCCCATTTAGCAGACTAGAATCACATACAACATTCTAGCAAAGCTTTGATTTTTCAGACTTGGAAAGAGTGTTATAACTATATAATCTGAGGGAAAATACTCTTTTCTCTTTCCTTCATAAAAGATCACACCCCAAAAAGTCTCCTTAATTCCTTTACTCTTCACTTAAGAAGGTGAAGCCAACTGAATCATCTTTTTTTTTATGGAAAAAATTGTGTAGCCTTTCTCACAGGTCGCTCAAACATTTATGAGTTCAGAAGTTGATTGAATTCTGGCTCTCCTTAGGTTAGATAATATATAGGAAGTGACTGAGAAATCAATGCTTAAGGAGGGGTAAGAAATCTATGCCTTTATTTTAAGGATTTCATTCATTGCCTCCAGTCACTTTGAAACACATGCGGGTAAAAATTGACAGCAGTAAGAGCCAAATTTCAATGGCTTTCAAATAAATGCATGTAGAAATTAAGTGCTATCCAGGACTCACTACCATTCTTTTCTTTAGTTTTTCTCAGTTTAAAAGCAACCCAGGTTTTCTACAAGTTCATCTTTCAATCTTTCAGTCCCAGAACAAACCTAAGCATGGCTCTCTATCCCTATTATCCTGAACTTGGATAATGAGATAGAATTTTCTTCTCCTTATTTCTTAATGTGGTATCCTAGAAGTGAGGCTAGAGAAAGCTCTTCTTGAAAGTGAATTTTGTTCCTAAGTAATCAGATTCTTCATCATGGGATATATAGTTTTTCAACTTCCTATATGACCCTAGGTAGAAATGGTTTCAAGGATGTAACTATCTCAAAGAACCACCCTCTGAAAGACCTTGAGAGATTGGGAATTCTATATGTAATCTCTTAGGCTTTTGGGAACTCATTTGCCACCATCTGCCCTGACATGTGGGCCTCGACTCCTTTCTTGTCCTTCTTCCTCATAACCTGCACAAATCAGGGATGAAGCAGAGTCATAGCTCTTCATGGTAAGTGAGAATAACTAAGAAAGTAGACATGTGTTAGAAGTTGTCAAGGGATAGCACCCCTCCTGAACACTAAGACATGATTACTGGGAGCCCTTTAATGGAGATTCTCTTTCTAACTTGCCAGAAGGTTTTGTAAGAAAGCCTCATGCCAACTGTATTCTTCTGCTTGGGTAACTGGCAAATACTTGAATGGAAACCCTTGAAATACATAGGGAAATCTAGTAGAGTTCTCTCTGTATCACCACCCATTTCCTCCAGGTTTAGCAGGTTTAAACGCTCATGAAATGAAAAGAGCTTGGAGAAAGGCTTCCCCTGGTGTTTTCTGAGACTCCCAGGTCTGTGGGGATCATCTGTTGTTTCACCACCACCACCAAATGCAATAATCACCCATGTTTAGAGCCTGGGCTTTTTTGTTCCTCATCTCCTCAGTTTCTCATTATGATTTAGCAAGTCAGAGAAAGCCAGTTTCGGTAGAATGGTTATGGCAGTTGGAAGGAAATCTAATTTCACACATATGCAACTGAGATTACAGCCTTGTTATACAAACTGACCTTTTTTTTTTCCATAACAAGGAAAAGAATCAGAGGGTCAATTATATGGTTTGTTAAGGGCTGGAGATAAAACAACAGAAATCTCCTACATTTCTTTGGCTTCTCATAATGTCCTGTCAATACAGGAGTGTGGCATGGATATTTACCAGGCTGTCACTTGAGAGATCTTGCTCTGACTCATTACTGATGCATGAGCTGTTGTTTTTTGACCAGTACCCGTAGTAAATGCTAATGGATAAGCAATGCTAATGACAAGCTAATAAAATGTAACATACCTCCTTCCATCACTCCCATCATTTAGTTGTATGAAATCTTGAATAGCCAACAGACAGTTGGATGCAATACATTTCTTTCACCTCATCCTTCTATACCCCCTGTGCATATTCCCCCCTTTGATTGGAGTTGGCTTAAAAAAAGACATCATTTCTTATGCATCTGGCTATCATTTGTATTTTCTAAGGCATTCTGTTTTTATTAAATGGGAATCAATCTCAAGGCATAGCCCTTATCCCTAATTATTTGGTAGGTTGGAATTTAGTTCAGAGGCAGAATTGAGCACAGCCTCCCTAATGGTGAGACTTTGCCAAGAATTTAGTATGAGATGGGCCAGACCAATGGTAGAAGAGATGAAACTATTCTGGGAATGGATCTCGTGCCCTTTTAAGATTACTGGTATATATATTCCTTCCTTAAAATAAACATAGCAATAATTTTAATCTTCTGCCTTGCAGAATAGTTGATTGGAATTGTTGATATGGAAATAGTTGATATGGAATAGTTGATAGAAAAGATTGATGCTTTGAACTTAGCCAATGTCAAACAGCTTTCTATCTCTCATAGAATCAGAGAAATCTTTCATTCAGAGACATAACTGGAATGGTATGATTGAGGCTTTGCTCCAGGGCACCAATGTTTAGAGAATACAAAGATTTAACGCATGCACTTCTGCAGCTAGAAATAAGAAATTACTAACTAGGAACTTATAACTACCTAGTTAACATGAAAAAAGATAGGAGGCTACAAGTTCACAGGCAGTTAATAGCACCCATCTGTGAGCCACTGTGGTAACTAACTCCCCCTTTTCAACTGATTTGGTCCTGCTTACTTATTTTACTATCTGCATATCATGAATTTCAAGGTTTATTGGGGGGATACAGTTTGTGCTGTTTTCCCTGGTCCCCTAAATTCCTAATTATAGCTCTGTTTCCTTTATAAAAGTCCCTTGCAAGGCCAAGAGATGAAGGTGCTACACAGATGGTCTTTGGCACTCACATGATATCTATTGGAACCAAACAGCCTGGCATAGACACAGGGCTCGCACTCTTCCATTTCTCACATTGTTACTCTAGGACTGGTATGTGCTTTGCAACTGTAAACCTTTCCATTAAAAATGTAATTCTTTCCTCTTCCCCTAAGCCAGTCCTATATGTGGCCTTGCCTGAGGCCAATAGCACCAAACTAACCACACTTTCCAGTAATTGATGTAAAGGAAAAAAGCATCACTAAAAAAAAAAAATCTTCTGCTCATGCACAAAAGTCTTTTAACTAAATCTAAGTGAAAAATTCTCATTGCTAATAGGTAGACTGGGTGGAGTGGGAGTGGGGCAGTATGGTGGGAGGTAGGGGAGGGTTATGGAAGTGAATTGTTTCACAAAACAGAGTATTTTTCTTACTAGCAATTTTTCAAATGAAAAAGAAAATCTCTTTTGTCTAGAAAATAAACACTGATGCCAAAATAGGAGACCATTTCTAACACAAAATAATATTTTTGCGTTAAAAAAAAAACACCATTTGGTCCAGAACATAGGAAAAGGTTTAAGATTACTGACCTTTCCTCTTTTAACTGACTAAAAGCAAAGAAGAGTTCATTGGTTAAAAAGATGACATTTGTACCTGTAATAAATGGGCAGAGGAATTCAATTTTATTTAGCCTGGTAAAAAGTTTAAATTTGAAAAGGGGGTAGGAAGGGCATCTAACCTGAGAATGTATTTACTCAGTCATATGAAATTTTAACTCCCACCAAAAGAAAAACAATATATAGAGATGGTTGATTTTAGACCTAAAATTGTGCATGACTCAAATTTGAAAAATTGACTTTAAGTTTTCATAAATTGTTCATTGTATAATAGAAATAAATTTCTAAATGGAATTACAGTCTTTTAATACAGGCACCTAACAGTGTTATGGTTACACATGAAAAAATACTACTATAAAAAAGTTCTTTTTTTTTCTTTCTGCCTATTGTATAATTAAGCTATAAATAACTTTAGGATAGAACCCCTACGGTTGGTGTAAATAAAACTGTTAACTGAGCATGTTTGCTGATGTCCCTTTCATGTACTGCCCAGCTTGCTGTCTTTTAGTCCAACATCTTCTCCTGTTTCTTGCCTTCCTTTTTCTTCTTCTTGGATTCTGCTGTGGTAGCCAAAAGAAAAGAAAAAACAACATTAAAATACCAAACCACATAAATACAAGAACCTAACCCACCCCTAAAAAAGGCAATAGGATAGGGAGAGGATTTCAGGGGGGAGAATGGAGTGTCTCACTGTCCCGAATGCAAAAGGAAATGTCTGAAGTGGGGGCTAAGGGCTGTGTATGTGTTGTGTGTTGTGTGTGCTATGTGTATGTTCATGCTGAGGGTGGAGGCGGAAGAGGATATTTTAGTGAGAAAGAGAATTCTTTCTGTCCAGTCAGCTGCCACTACTTGGCATGCAAGGCATTGTCTTGAGGTCTTGTTTATAAAATAGGAAAATAGCAGGCGATGGAGAGAAACCAGGTCACATCTCAGTGGAAAGCTAAAGACTAGCACTGCACACCCCACTTCCCCTTCTTCCCTTTCCTGCGGTTCTGCCTGTATTGGCCTTTCTGTGACCAGTTCCAGGGAATGGCAGTAGAGGACTGAGACCTTAAACTTCTCAGCTTCAGCTTCTGTCTCCTCTCTGGCTTCAGTTAGCATCTTTGTGTGCCTGAAAACCCATAAAAAGGCCATTTGTATAAAATATCTAACAGTAGCTAGGAATTTGAGTTCCTGGGGTTTGATCACCTTTGGGGAGGCAAAGAGAATGTGTCAAATTTGGTTCATCTGCAGCTGTCTAAGGAAAGCACTTATAAGGATGATGTTAATGTAAAGATCTATGTTCTGATCATGAAATATGGTACTCCTCAGGAAACACCCAACTCAAAGTCAAGATGGGTATGCGGAGGCTCCATAGTAGCACATAGGAGATGCTAGGTAAGTCAGCCTAGGTTAAGATGGATGCTGTCAATCAGCAAGCATTTCTTGATAACTTATTATGGGCTAGGCACTAAGGATACAAAAACAAAAGTGCAACCATGGAACTGCAATACGATTCTGGGGTTCTATGCTCCAGCCACAACTTATGTCTCTTACAAGAGGAAATGAATGATGGTTAGGCTCTATTAGAGAGAGAACCTTTATTTCATCAGTATTCTTCACCTACTCACACAAACATCACCAAGTAATATTCATTACATGTTCTCACTATGTCCACCAGACATCAGAAATTAATATCATGTTTGTACTTAAGTTTCAGTATTTAAGTTTGTAATATGTTTCTTTTTCTTATTGTGCATTTAAGCTCTAGAATTTAAGTCCAAAAGAAAAAAAAAAATAAATTAATACCATGGTGAGATCACCAAATAAATATGCACACCTTTGCAAAGCCAGAGGCCCAAATCAACCCACCAGCCAATCAATAAGCATTTATTATGTGCTCACTGTGTACCAGGCACCAAGCAAAATGCGGAAGATACAAAGAAAAGTAAAAAGTACTTCTTGCCCTTCAAAGAGCTCAAATCCTAATGGGGGATTCAACTATGTAGATGGAGGATTATACAGAACAAAAGGTAACACCAAAGGAAAGAGCACAAATATCTAGGACACTACCCATTCGTTCATTCATTCAACACATATTCATCAAGCACTCACTCTGTACCAGCCTGCTAAGTGCCTAGGACATGAAAACAAACAAACAAACAAAAGTTCATGTCCTAGAGGAGCCTATGCTGCCACACTAAAAATATGGTAATTGGCTGAAAACAAGGAGATAAAAATTAAATCCACCGGAATAGAGAAATTCACTGAGGGAGAAAGATGTATACGTGCTCATATGTACATGCAAGCAGACAGACATACAAACACATAGCCAATGAGGGAGGTGCAAAGATAGAGGCCTGCAATAATAGCCACTACAAGATACTCTCCAGTGTATCGTTCTGCAAACCAGGAAGGCTAAATGAGCTACAGGAGTATGGTGCAATCTAAAATAAGGACAGTACCACAAAACTGTAGAGGTGACTCACAGCAACCTAATGCCTATCAACAATGAAATCCCATCCACCAAGCAGTGTGATGGAGTGGATGAAATATAAGTCTTAAGGTCAGAAAGATTCAGGCTTCAATCCCAACTCTGTTCATGAGCTGGGTGACTCTAGGGAAGTCACTTACCTTCTCTGACTCTTTGTTTTCTCATCTATAAAAAGAAAGGACCAAACAAGATTGCCTCTATACTGCCTTCCAACTCTAAATCAATGATCCCATGTTTTTATGAGCCTGCTATGTGCTAATCTCAGGAACAGAAAGAGAAAATGAAAACATGTGTCTGCCTTCAAGGAATTTACATTCTATTGGGAGTAGGGATGCTGGGCAGATAAATCCATATAACCTTATATTTTCTTCCATAAATATTGCATCTTTCCCATGCCTTTCCCCATGCCCATCAAGTAGAATATAAGCTCCTCAAGGACAAGCATTGTTTCATTTTTGTCCCTGTCTTTGCCACAACCCAGTATGTTACTAAAGGGAGCCTTGGCCTCTTCTTACCTGTTTGCTAGAGAAAGCTTCAGCTTAATGAAGGACATTTCTTCATCCCTAGACTGTGGGCCTGAGAAATATTTCATCAACAACTGGTAGCTCTTGGTGACTTTGACTGTGGTATGGAAAGGTCTTCTTTGTTTAGATTTAGAGCTGGGAGGAATCATCATCAAGTCCAACCCCCTCATTTTACAGATAAAGAAACAAGCTTGGTGACTTGCCCTTCTCATTCCCACTGCTTCCCAAGATTCAAGTTGGAAGTCAGATTACATCTTCCCACAGAAATCAATGTCATCAATAGTGAAGAGCGTGCTGGTCTGGCTCACGGTCTTGTATCTTATTGCTTAATTTGCTTTTTTGGAGAGGGGTGAGAATAACCAGGGACATAATTAGACTTATAAAAACTCACATTTCTATAACACATCCAGGTTTGCCTAACCACCAGCTATAGTATTGTTTGTAGGAGAAAATATATTCTGAATTCCAAACAATTGATTTGCAAATTAATTTTACAAAGAGTCATAGAATGAGGCTTGATGAGAGTGTTTAAAATGTCTTTGATTTGTTTTATACCTTTTAAAGAAGTCAAGTTTGGCACCACTGCTGTCCACAACTGAAAGGCAAGGTTGCCTACTAGGTAGTCAACAATTCCTATTAGGTTCTAAAAAGATGTGGTACAGAAAATGGGGGAGAGGGTATGGATTCTGACATTCAAATGCTGAGGCAACCCTAAATCCTATCTGTCTATTGTTCCTTATCAATATCCTTTGCTGAAGCATCGTCTGTCTCAGAATCCCTTAGCATGGGTGGCCCCCAGAGTCCTTTCCTCCCCTCTCCACCACTGTCCTCTCCTCCACTTTCCTCTCCTCTCCTCCCCTCCCCTTCACTGTCTTCTCTTCTCCTCTCCTCTCCTCTTTTCCCTTCCCCTCCACTCTCCACTTCTTTCTGCTGTTCCCTGTCCTCTCCTCTCCCCTCCTCTCCTCCCTCTACATCCAAAAGGGTACATTATAAGTAATAAGCTAACTATTAATGTTTGTCCACTGATTGATCCAATTGCAAATGTCTTCAGTGCCTACCTCACAGAGTTGTTGTGAGGCTGAAATGACATAATAAACATAAAAGTACTTTGCAAACCTTAAATCACTATATAAATAGCAGTTATCTTTATGTCTTCCTACAGTACATGCGCCAAAGGACAGAAAAACCCTGTTTGGTTCTTAGGCTTATCATCTTTAAAGAAAAAAGTGTAATAAAAATTTGAGTGGGCCAGATGGTCACCATGCTCTTCCCTTTGATCCTAAGTTAGCAGCTGGACCAGTCGAAGAGAAGATAGGTCCCAGTCCTGCTTTATGGATGTTGGAAGGGTTGAACAGTCATTGAGGAAGCAGCCCAGTACAGTAGAAAGAGCATTGACATGGCAGTTAGAGGATCTGGGTTCTATTTCTGCCTTGGATATTTAATACCTGTGTGACCTTGGGTAAATCACTGAACCTCACATGGCCATGGTTTAATCATCTGTAAAAAGAGATCTTTGGACTATATGGTCTCTGGGATTTCTTCTAGCTCTAATGCTATGATCCCATGATGAATCTAACTCCCACAGCTGCTTAAGAAGTCCTCATCTGAGTGATTTTAACCTTACCTGAATTCAAATCCAGTCTCAGACACTTACTAGCTGTGGAACCATGAGAAACCCTATTTGCCTCAGTTTCCCCATCTGTAAAATGAGCTGGAGAAGGAAATGGAAAACCACTCCAGTATCTTTGCCAAGAAAACCCTAGACAGGGTCACCAAGAGTCAGACAGGACTGAAAATGATCAAACAACACAACTGAAATGGACTGAACAACAACAAAGTAACAAAACCCATGACCAGAGGTGGACTTCTGGCAGACTAGAAGTATTCAGGACAGGAAGGGGGAAACTTTCAGATTTCTCTTCTAGCATTAAGAATAAGGAGGAGAGGGGCAGCCAGGTGGCACAGTGGATAGAGCACCGGCCCTGAAGTCAGGAGGGGCTGAGTTCAAATCCAGCCTCAGACCAAACACTTGACACTTGGTAGCTGTGTGCTCCTGGGCAAGTCACTTAACCCCAATTGCCTTCAAAAAAAGGGGGGGGGCTGAAGTACATATCTATGAAGATTGAGTTAATTCTTGATTTAAAATAGGTATCTTGTTTCCTTCATTCTTTCTACATTGTGTAAGTAATCAATATGTTGGCATTACTAAGGGATGTATATGAGAAAGTTAAAACTAGATATGGAATGTTTGGTTCTGGATTTTTCTATAATGTGCATCTGGACAACCAGCCACATGATGCCTGTACTTTCAAATAAGATAATATCATGAATTTAGTAGGCTAACAAAAAGGCAGATGGATGTTTAAGACAAAAACCAAGGAGGGCATGTACCCTGCTTGGGAGGCAAGGTGGAAAAGTGCATTTGGAATCAGCTGACTCAAGTTCAAAAATTATCTCTGTCCCTTAATCTGTCCAACTTTTGAAAAATTATTTTGCCATTGTGGGGGTATTTCTTCATCTTTAAAATAAGAAGGCTGGACTGTATCACTTCTAGAATCCTTTC